TAAATTACTTGCTTTGAAAAACTGAAAATATTGATGAATTTTAATGGAAAAGCAACAGATAAATTTTGTACTTTTAAGGATATTCATTGAAAAAAATTAGAAATTAAAATTTTTAATGTAAAAAAAAAATTACCTGTGTTGTAGCTGCATTAAAATGAATACCCATATATGAAGATATGCCAAGACCGGAAATACTCGCATAAGTGACCAGAAAGACGCCAAGGATACTGAGACCAACTGATGAATTCACTGCAAACCACCAACCATCCCAGTTTAACTGTGACCAGCCAGCATAAACAAACTGCAATTCATAATGTAATTTTAGGATAGAAATATTAAATGATCATTTGATTTCTAATATGCAATTATTTCTTGATAATAATTATTTTATCGATTACTTCAATCTTTGTTTTGAGTGATTGAAAAAAGAAAGGAAAGATCACAATCTCCTGAAACATGTATCACCATGAATGCATTGAATTGCATAAAGAATCAAGCATTTCAAACTTTTTCATAAAAGAATAAAAATTAGAATATTTAAAATTTTGATCTTTCATTAAAGGTCAATCAATTTAATTGAAAATTGAAATGAAATAGTATTCTTTCTCATCATTTATGATAATAAGTCAGTAAAAAAAAGGGAGAAAAATTGAGACTTAAAAATAGAATAGCGAAGTGTATTAAAATGAATACTTGTTTTCTTTATTTCTAAAATGTATTATTACAAAACTTGCAAATCAATTTTTAACTTTATTTTATTCTTCAAGAATTTGATTTTAAGTTATAGCAACCTTACAAGCATATAGTGAATATTTCAGGCCTTTTCATTATAAATCTACAATATATGGTGCAATTCTTTTTCTTGCAGACTTTAATGTAATATTAAGGAAGAGCTTTTCTTCATTCATTTTTCAAAAAATTAAATTTTCAAAATTTTTAGAGAAGAAAAGAAAAGAAAGAAAACAAACCATTAGAAAATATCCTATGAAAATAACAAAAAATTTGAATTGACTAAATTCCTTTAACATATCCTCTAAAGATGTTGATGAAAGTGGGTGTATCTGACGATTCATCTAAAAAATTTTCCTTTACTAATTAATTGTATGATCTGTAAATTGATTATATGAGTGATTTGATAAAATATCCGAAAAATATTTTAGGAATAGTAAATATGCAAGAAAAAGAAGGAAAATATTATCATAATGAAAAAAAAAATTTTCAAAATTATTGTGCAACAATTGAATATAATACAATAATTTTATTCTGAAACTGTTACGTTATGCTATGCTAATGTAAAATGACTTTATCTAAGTTTTATTGAAGATTAACTTATAAATAAAATGTTAAACGAGAAGAGTACGTAAAATGACGTAAAAATTAAGCGCATATATTTTGTATGCATACGTTAATACGAAATAGTACATATCTTCCTTCTATCTCGTATAAACTTATTAAGTTTGATAATATTTCAACCAAGCTAATTCTCTCTGATTAAATTATAGGAAAAAGCTTCCAGTATAATCTTATATCACTATCCTTATCACTTCATTATCATTATTACAATAAGATACACATGTAAACCTCTGTATTCCAACGATGCTCATAGATGTATTGCGTGAAATTTCGCTGCCAAGCGGAAACAATTTGCGACGCGTAATATGGATTCCAAATGTTAATATTCAAATTTGGTTTTAAATTTGACTTTTCTTCCTAAAGTTTAACTAGACAAATGGATTTCAAATTATAATTACAAAAAATTCATCCAATTAGCATTTTTTTTTCAAATGCTTCACTACTTTTTTTTTTCATCAAATTTAACCACAAATTGAAATTCTTCAACAAATTTTAATTCTTTTATTTACTCGTTTCATTTGATTTATAATAATTTGATTAATGCATATGTCTAAATTAACAGTATGAAAGAATTCATTTAATAGTGGACTTTTTTTTTTTGCAACAAACATATTATTAATATTTGAAATGAAATAATATCCTGAAGAAAATGAAAAATTAAATTAAATTAAATTAAGAGAAACTTTATAACGTGAAAAGACATCACTGCCAGATGCAACCAGGAAAATACTTTGAAAAGCTTCAGCACTTATCAATTTATGATTTTCCCTTTTCACACCACCAACTATCAAATCTTCCGGCCATACCATTGTATTTCGTGCAAATCCTCGACATCCACCTGTCATTATTTTCCCATAATCCGGATATTCCGGCATCTCCTCCTAAAATAATTTTCAAAAAAACAAAAAGAATTAAGCAATTGTGACTGATAAAAAATGAAAAACCTTTTAATTAGTATAAAATTATTTCTATTCGACTAAAATAAATGTAATCAAAACGTTTTACCATTCATATCTTTAAAATAGAGCAAAATAGTGAGATTGTTTTAAATGTTTTCATTTAGACTAAGAATTAATTTAAAAAAAAAAAAGATGAAAATTATAAAGAGAGGAAGAGAGAGAAAAAAAAGAATGAACTAAATAGTGATATGCAATATTTTAATTGAAAAATTATGAAGGTAAGATTTAATTACCAACCAATGTTAAAAATTCACTCCATCGATGTTCATTTGCATTCAACCATTTCAAAAAGCTTTTACCATAACGCAAACATTGTTCTTTTTCAGCAATTTCCTCATTATCTGTAAAATAATTTTTAAAAATTTAGCATATTAAAACTATTGCTAACAATTTCAATTTAAAAAAAAAAACAACTTCAATTTTGAACAGCAATAACAAAAAAAAAACAAAAAAGTGCTTAATATCTTATCGAAATATTCAATAACACTCTTCTATAATAAGATTTTCAAAAATTTAAATCATTTTTTTCGTTTCTAAATAATACTGAATATCATTTGATAATGAATGAGATCGTTTTGATAATTCAAATCATGCAATATATTACAGTATACATTAGCATAAAAATTTTCTTTTTCTTTAAATAAAAAATTTTTGTACTCATAATAGTAATTTGTAAAGAAATTCAGTAAAGAATTAATTTTAATTGAAAATTGGTGGTAATAACTAATTACTGTCAACCTCATTTTTTATCTTTTATTTGAATTTTTCTTATTAAATCATGAATTGATAAGCCAAAAATAATTATACTTTTAGTAGCATTATGACTGATATCGTAATCATCATCATCTTCATATGCATAATAGTCGGAACTTTCATCTTCTGTATGATTTTTAATACTTGGTTTTACCGTTGAAATTTCCATCTCTCGCTTACGTCTTTTTTTACCTGAAATTAGCGTGGCACAAAATTGATTAATGAATTTATTAGAAATAAGTTCATAGTGTATACATTTATGGTAAGCAATTAAATTTCACATTTGTTTTTAAATTAATTGCTATTGCATACATTTGAGGTAAGCAAATAAATTTCACATTTGTTTTTAAATTAATTGCTATTGCATACATTTGAGGTAAGCAATTAAATTTCACATTTATTTTTAATTAGTTGACATCATATGCATTTAATGTAAAAAAATTAAATTTTACATTTATTTTTATCAAAAATACAAATAAAAGCAAAAAAATACTTAAGAAGTGAAGTTTTCTTTAAAATGAATTTTTCTTCTCATTTCTTATTAGTTCTTTTATGTTTTATCATTTGTGCACATATTGCTATTTGAAAATTTCTCTCTTTCTTTCATTTTTTGAAAAAAAGAAAGATAAAATTAAAAATGTATTATTGATAAGATAAATAAATTTTTTTTTGAAGATCTAACCAAAAATTTCATCAAGAATTTGTAATGCAGCATCTTCTGATTCTAACTTATATACTGGTATTGCTTCCTCTTCCAATACTATCTGTTTATTTTTTGGCATTGCCATATTCCAGGCTTGAAATTTTCTGAATGCTAAACAATGATCGAAAGCATTTGGTGCTGTTGATGGACATTCCGGATCTAACGGATCGATGCACCAACGATCCAGATAAGCAGCTCCTATACCAGCCTATAATATGACTGATGAAAATAATGTTATTGCCGTTTAATTAACATGATCAGATTATATTAAAGAATAATTTGAAATTTGATAAAAAATCAATCATCTCAAACATATTCACTTTCCATTTAACAATATTATCAAAAAAAAAAAAAAAATTTTTTTTTACTCTTTCAAATAAATCGAAGATTGTTCCAAGATCAAAAAGTGTCGAAACTTCTTTCAGTACTGCTGAAGGATCCAAATTTTTCCATGTTATATTACCTTTTGGTAAGGAATTAATGAAAGCATGTACATCGGGCCTATAAATACCTCAAATTCAATAACTACACTTCAACATTTCGGATTAATTTGCAGTAAAGAAATTAGCAAAATTCCTAATTGAAATTGAGAAATAAAATTTGAAACATTTCCTTAGTCATTTAATTATTATCGTGAATTTAATTTATTAAAAATTAAAAACATAAAAGTTAATATCATAATTTAGCCTTTACAGCATTTAATTATAACAGTTAGTTTTTGAAAATTTTCAAAAATTAATACTATCCAAGAAAAATGTTATAACATTGAAATAAACAAGATGATTTATTTTATTTTATTTTACTCATCTAATTTTATATCGCTTTTTTTTTGTTTAAAAAAAAAAATAAACCCTAAAATGAGCGGTGGTGACGGTCCCAATGGTTTTGATCCTTCCCAGAAGCAATCAATTGGTGTTATCCAAATGCACGGAATTAAACGATCCAACAATTTGGTCACTATATCAGCAAATGGTCCGTGTGATAATTTCGGTGATGGTGGCTTGAAGCATATATCGGCTAATGTCCAATTTCTAAAATAACAAATAAGATTTTGTTAGAACGAAATATAACAATTGTTAATCAAAAAATAAATAACGAAAAAAAATTTCTCATAAAAAATTAATTTATTTATAATTTTTTTTCATAACATCCTCAACCTTTTGATGCAAAGATAATTTCAGAATGGATCGCTGCGATAATGATAACAGTTCAATCTTATATGATAACTGCTAAGAGAATTTTGAAAAATAATTTAATAGAGCAATACATTGAAATTGAAAAAATTTAAATTTAGCTTTTTAAAGGAAATATTTGTTGAATGAATTCACATACTCGCCATACATTTCCACTTGAAAATTGGCAATTTCTTCCATAATTTGAACATGTTTAAGTAATGATTCTTTGGTTAAAGCATTAATTCCTTTTGCTACAGGTGTTTGTATTATCACCTAGAAAAATTAATTTTTGAAAGAGTACATGATATCACTACAGATAATCGAAATTTTTTAAAATTTAATACCATAATTTTTTACCAAAGTCAATGTATGAATGAATTTCATTATATCAGTAATAGTTTCTATGAAAAAATAAAATCAAATTTAATTATTGCTTATTTGAAAATGATACCTGAAAACGGCTATCAAATGCATTATCCAAATTTGTGTCCACGCTTTTCACATTTTTTCTACCATTTGCTTTGATGGAAACGATTGACTTACGAATATCTATATTATCACTATCACATTAAATTATGCAAGTCATTTTTTAGAAAAAAAATTTGGAAATTTCATCCAATGATTTTGAATGATTTGAAAAAAAAAAAAGATGAGCAAGGTAGAAATGATAATTTATAAACTATTTTTCTATTCAGTGCTGAAAAAAACAATACAGATCATTAGAAAAGATATTAAATTAATTAAAATAATTAAATTAATTAAAATTCATTAATTTAAATCAACTAAAATTCAATTAAAATGGGACTAAAAATTAAAGAATATAAAGCAAACTTGAATTTTCAAAATCAGCTGAACGTTTTTCACGAACAATATCATACTCATAATTTCGTTGCACACGTTGAAGAAAATGCAATTCATCGTCTAAACGTCCACCTTCTAAAATTTACATATGCAAAATATAAGTTAATTAGTTTTCCAATTTATTAATTTCATTCAAAGCTTTAAATCCAGAAATAATCTTTTTAATGGGAATGCATAAGAAAGAGGAGAAAAAATTTGCTTGCTTTTGTAAATTCACATTCAAAATTCTACATAAACAATTCTAAATTATGCTACAAAATTTACAGAATTTAATAAAACTAATCGTTTCAACAACTAAAAAAAGACAGTATATTTAAAAATTTGCTAAAAAAAGAAATTAAAAAAAAATGTTTGTTTGTGTAAAATTTACCTGACACCCATAGTTTGATCAAATCAGTCTCGATATGCACATATCGAAGTCCTAAGGCGCAAATCAAATAAACACTTAAACCAACAATGACAACGGACCATGCCCAATTTTGTACAAATGAACCCAACGTGAAAAGTAATGTTTGAAAAAAGGAACGTACATAAAGTGGTAGACGATTACCCGTTGCTATACCCTGCAAAAAAAAGAAAGAAAAAATGATTTTAATTTTTATACAATTTAAGATTTAATTTCAATAGCTTTTATTAATCAAAATTAACAACCCCTTAACCATCGATAATAACACCTGACTAACACTTTTTTTTAATAATTAAATTAATATGTATTCTGTTTTGAAAAAATTTTTTTTAGCCTTACACTTTTTTGAATCATCAAAAATTTAATGTCTGTTCTGTTTCAAAAAAAATTTTTTTAAACCT